TCGCGAGGAGAGAGCCCTGCAAGGAAGGAGGCCTCACGGCACCGCGTTCCTCGGCGGGTGCTCACAGGCCATCGGGAGATGGCAGCAGGCCGCAAACATACCAAGAAGGGTCCCCGAAGCGCCACTTCCCCTGGCGCGGGAGGGGACGGTGGCCCTAGACAGCCCCACCACCAGCCTCGCCGTGGGAAAGTTTGGCCAGACCTGGCCATCCCCATCCCAGGGTCCCAGCACAAATGGACACCCCAGCTGCCTCCCCTGCTTGGGCTTGCTCTCCTCTTTTCCTTTCTCCATGTCCAGGGCGGATCCGCCCATAGGGCAGAAGACACTCACCCCAAGGCCCCTGGAACATGCCACCATCCGTGCTAACACTCATCTCGTGACCAAAAAATCTCACATGTATTTAACAAAAATATGACATGAACAACACTAAATAATAACAGAGAGGGGAAGGGAGGCTAAGACAGGAGGAAAGTCCTTAGGGACAGTGCGAATGAGCTCCTATGAGACCAGGACCCCGGCCGAGCTGGTCTTGGCTCCAGCCCCCTCGGTATTCTCCTTGGGGGGCTGTTTCTGGTCGTCCTCACCCATGAGGCGGATGTTGTGCTTCTCCCGGAAGTCGTTCAGCTCCCGGCCCTTTGTCTGCAGCTGCTGGTTCAGCGTTTCAATGATTTTGCTGATCTGGAAAGGGGTAAAGATGAGTCAGGGCAAAGCAGCAGGGAGACTGGCTCAGTCCTCGCTCCCAGGTCTCTGAAGCGAGACAAAGACGGGGGCTAGAGCTTCGCAGATGAGGGCTCGCACTCAGGGCCTCGCAGTGAGCGGGACAACCCAGTGTCTCCCGAATCACCCCATGGCGAATTGCCCTGGCCATGATCTGTCCTGTGCATCCCTGTGGGCAGCAACTTCCTGCCTGGAGGAGAGAGCTGGGCCCTGCAAGCCCTGGGGGAGGCTCTGCAGGCCGTGACCAGCCTGGGACCCTGGCACGAGGGCACCAAGGCGAAAGGAAGGCCAGCCCGGTCACCTGCTCCTTGTTGCTCTCCAGAGCCGGAAGCACCTCCTTGACGGTTCGTTCCACCAAGATGCCGCCCACCATGCGGTAGCACTTCCGGGTGGGGTCCACCTCCCGCAGCGTCTCGATCACCAGGCTGAGCCGGAAGCCCCTCCTTGACGGTTCGTTCCACCAAGATGCCGCCCACCATGCGGTAGCACTTCCGGGTGGGGTCCACCTCCCGCAGCGTCTCGATCACCAGGCTGGGAGGAAGAGGAGAGTGAGGCGGTGAAGCCCCTGCGATACGAAAAAAGCCAGATGACAATCTATGAATAAACACAGAATATATGAATAACTCAAAACTTCAGGCTATGCTACTACCTATCTAATCCCACTTCCAAATATTTCTAAAAGTTGTTTAGATCTTCTCCAAGTTTCGAGAAACGGAATGAAATCCCAGTGACTCAATATCCCTAGACACGACTGAGAATGTTTACAATAGAAAAGAACTACAAAACTTCTGAATGATTCTGTGTCAAAAGAGCATGGCAGCAGTTACTCTGAAAAGGAAGAAACATCAAGGATATTACTCTGGGAGACTCCGGGCAAATCAAAAACAAATGAGGAGACAGTGTATCTTTTGTTAAAGAAAAAGTTGTCCCTGAAAATGACAGCAGTTTTTCAAATTACTGGTTAAGTATTACAACATCTACGTTTGCAAGTAGCGTGTTATAGCATGAGCAGATCTGTAGAGCAAAACAGTTCATGTCAACGGTCCAACATCTACCTTTTTAGCATTGGGATGTTTTCACGTCAGACAAGCTCTGGTCCCTTAGCCTCCACACCTGTTAGTGTCTACTGTATGTCCTTCAGTTACATTACACCTGAAAGGAAGACAGGGATTATACTCCAGGACAGCTCTATGACATGAACCAAAGCAAAGTAGGGACCTCAGTCAACATTGCATTCCTAATCCACCCTAGAACACAAACACAGATGACACCAGTTATTATTATTTCTATAACAAACAGAAGAGAACAAAGATGACAGCGCTGAAAACTAGAATATTGCTAATGCATACCTGGGATATTCTAAAATGCTACATACTAAGGAGTGGTGTCTCATTTTTGTTTGGTTTTTGACCAGAAATACTTTATTTTCTGTAAATTATAGCTGTCCTTGACTTAAAAGATTTAAGAGAATCTTAGAAAACTGTTTCTTAGAAACAGTTTCTTTACTGTTTCTTAAAAAACAATAGTAGGACAGTGAGCCATGCAATATTAAATGAAGTAAAGTTTGGAGGACATGATTTGTCTCTATGTAGGCAAAGTTATCAAATAAGTGGAAATGTTTCCCTTTGAAAATTCAGTGTTAGAGGGACAGCTGGATGAACAAAATACAAAGGAATCGCTTTACAGGTAAGAAGTGGCATTGAAAGTACAAGTAATGTTTCTTACAAATACTTCATGTATTTCTAATGTTCTGATCTCCAAAGTTTCTGGTTGGGGATATTCCATGATTATTATACCCTCTAAGTTCTTGTATTCAGGATTCACTTCAACCAATAAATATGTAAAGTTTAAATGTTATAAATAAAAACATGTTTAGTCTCAGATCAAAAGGTATTATCAGTAAGAGTATTGTTATTACTGCTACACAACTAGCATTCCGCGAATGCTCCCACATCTAAACAATGTCTAGAGGCCCTGATAACTTCAACAAAATCGTAGAATTTACTACTTTAGTAAAGCCAACAGCTGAAATTTCCAGGTTTGGCTCATGGACTTAAGTGTATTTATGGCCCTTTGAACAGCTAATCAAAAGACAAATACAGCATCATTATATAACTCCATTAAAATAAAGTGAAAAACGTGTTTGAGTGTTTTCACTGTTAAGTAAGTTACAGTGATTTTCAATCTCCAGGCAAGATCACCAGTGAAGTAAATGGGCCTACCTCCCCTACAGTCAATTGTCTGGTCCCACTGAAGATCTTTACTTATCTTCCTTCCTCTTTTTGGTCTCATTTTTTCAGTGTCGCTCCTTAGTCGCTTCCTGTGCCAAGACCTCCTGGGCGCCCAGAGGCAGCTGCCCAGCTCCAGCCTTCACCCTGCCACAAACAGGTGCCAAGCGGGCCCATGCGTGTGGGGCTACTCGTGCCAGCCCTGGGGGGCTATCACCGGCCCCACGGCTGACAGCCATGCTCTGCCACAGCTCCCTGTGCCTCCCCGGAGCCACCCAGGCTCAAGACGCTCATCGCTGTGTGCCAGGTCACGTCCACGCCTGACAAGGAGCTGAACTTCACCGCCTGTGCGGGGCTGGTGAGGGAGGCGGCGCAGCGCGGCGCCTGCCTCGTCTTCCTCCCCGAGGGCTTTGACTACATCGGCTCCAACACCGCGGAGACCCTCAGCCTCGCTGAGAGCCTGGATGGCGATCTCCTGGGGCGCTACGCTGGGCTGGCCAGGTACTTCTGCAGGGAGACCCCGTTCCTGCCGGGGCCAGTCCCAGTGTGGCTGATCCCATCCTGCAGAATGGTTCCAGGTTCCCCTTTCCAAGCGCGAGTGGGAGGCAGAGCCAGGGCCAGGGGACTGGGGGGGGGCCTGGCCCTGCACCAGGTGACCCCCATGTCCCTGCTGTGCAGGGACTGCGGCGTGTGGCTGTCCCTGGGCGGGTTCCACGAGCGAGGCCGGGACTGGCCGACCACGCAGCGCATTTACAACTGCCACGTGCTGTTGGACCCTGCAGGTGAGAGCCCCTGGCCCTGCCCGCTGCCCGGGGGTCCCTCAGCCCTTGCAGACCTCCCGACCTTGCTCCCTCTTGTCCCCAGGCTGCCGTGTGGCTGCATATAGGAAGACCCACTTGTGTGATGTGGAGCTGGAGGGACGCGTGTCCATGAAGGAGAGCAGCTTCACCAACCCCGGCCCCGAGATCGTGCCCCCGGTCAGCACGCCGGCAGGGAAGGTATGGGGGCAGCTGGGAAGGTGGGCACAGCCATCTTCAGATGCCGCAAGGCTGTACGGCGCCCTGTCCCTGCAGGGAGAGGGGTTCCCCTTCCTGCCCTCTCTTCTGCCCTAGCAGAAGTCCTAGCTCAAACGCTGCATCCCATCTGCAGCTGACGCTGTCCCTCATCTGCATCTCCTCCATGTTGTCCTGGTCCCACCTACCCCATTCCCCTGCCCAGAGCCCCTAACAGGACTGGGTGCCTGTCCCCAGGCGCCGTGTCCTCGCTCACGTCCTCTCCTCTGTCCCCGCCAGCTTGGCCTCTCCATCTGCTACGACCTGCGTTTCCCCGAGATCTCGCTGGCGCTGCGGCAGGCTGGGGCCGAGATCCTCACCTACCCCTCGGCCTTCACCGTCACCACAGGCTCCGCACACTGGGAGGTGAGCATGCCCTGCTGCTGCCCCCAATCCTCCCCCTGGCTTTCCTAGCCAGGGAGCTGCGCTCCAACACGCCTCTCGGCCTCAGTTCCATCCCTGCCCTGATCCAGGTGGCTTTTGCCTGGCACAGCCCCTCCTTGTCCCCCTGTGGGTCTGGGGACACCCCAGCCCTGTTGGCTGTTGCAGCAGGACTGAGCCCTCACCCTGCTCATCTCCAACAGCCTGAGCAGGCAAGCAGGGAGGAAACTCAGCCATGACCAAGCATCCTGGGTGCAGCTGAGGGGGCCAAAGGGAGGCAAATTTAAGATAAAAAGCCTCATCTTTTTGTTATTTAAAGCCCAGGGCCAGGGGGCACCGCCTATCTGAGCTTAGTCCCTTCCTGCCATGAGGCCCCTCTCAGGGATGCACCCACAGGGCTGTGCCGTGTCCCCAGTGGGGCACTCAGCTCTGGGCTGGTGCCACTGGGAAGGCCTGTCCCCCCATCGCAGGTGCTGCTGCGGGCCCGGGCTATCGAGAGCCAGTGCTACGTGGTGGCAGCTGCCCAGACAGGCAAGAACCATGAGCGCCGGACGTCCTACGGCCACTCGTTGGTGGTGGATCCCTGGGGCACTGTGGTGGCCCAGTGCCAGGAGGGCCCAGGGTTGTGCTATGCTGAGATCGATCTGGATTACCTGCACCGCGTCCGCCGGGAGATCCCGGTGCACAGCCACCGCCGGCCCGACCTCTACGGCACTGTGGCAGTAGGCACAGGGCCAGCACCCTGAGGCGCTGCCCGTCCTGTGCACCCTCTCAGCACGGTGATTTTGGCTGATCTCCACTCACCTCCGGGGCCCTGGGCTGGCAGCAGGGCTCTCCTGCATGAGAAGGCCAGTGTCAGGCGAG